ACACAGATGATGGCTCCCGGGCGCTGGGTTTTGCCGATGGGAACAGCTCGCCCGGGTGCCGGGCAGAGACTCGCTGCTCTGGGCGCACGGAGCACCCACAGAAACAAGCCCCATGGGGTGACAAAGGCGCAAACGCCATCCCGCCTCCGGCATTTCGCCCCTCGGCAGCGCAGGGGGGGGCCGCGGGCGGTTGGGTACGGCTGTTGGGCCGTGCCTCTCGCACCAAAATTCATCTTCAACTGATGCCTGGCTCTTTCTCCCCTCTTTTTCAGATCAAGAAAATGACGGTCAAAGCTGTAAAAATGCCGTGCACGGCTCCCAATGTTTATACTAAAGTGCCTGATGGAGGATGGGGTTGGACGGTTGCTTTTGCTTTCTTCTTTGTGGAAGCTCTAACGTACGGCATTATAAAATCGTTCGGTGTCTTCTTTAATGACCTGATGGAAAGCTTTGATGAAACCAACAGCAGGATATCATGGATCATATCCATATGTGTGTTTGTACAGTCCTTCACAGGTGAGAGGAACGGGCGTTGGGGGTGAGTGCCAGGGGCGGTCATACTGCTGACTCAGCACACGAGGAGCTGGTCTCTGACTGCCGTGGCTCTCATGGCTCCGTTGCAAAGAAAAGTTGAAGTACAGTCCGGAGGCTGCGTGCTCCTGGAATACCCAGAAGCGTCTCTCAGTCCGGCAGCCCCTCGTGGCCTCAGGTCGCATCCTCCTGCGTGGTACAGGGATGTGGTGCGTGTCGCTGAGCCTGGCCCGGCCGTGCGGCTCTCAGCGAGGAGTGAAAGTGCATTCCGACCCCAGCTCTGTAGGAAAGAGGATTAGTGAGAACTGGAGTCTTGCCGAAATGCACTGGGTCTCCGGGTGTTGCTCAGGTTTGTCCCTGGCTGCCACGCACCCGTCTGGTGGCTTCGTTGGCACACCCCAAACGCTGTGAGCGGAGCAGGGCTCCGAGGGTGCCTCTGGGCGATGCTCTGCGGCGTGAGGCCAGCGGGGAGGGGAGGTGGCGAGGCGTGGGGACCGGGGCGGGGGCACCGGAAGCGCTCTTGAAGGAGATGGTGGCTGGTCGAGTTGCCGAGGGGTGTTGACCAAGACTCTCTTCCTTTCCCACCCATCCAGCTCCGCTGTCAACAGTCCTCAGCAATCGGTTCGGTCACCGCTTGGTGGTGATGGCCGGGGGGGTGCTGATCAGCACCGGCATGGTCACTGCCTCCTTCGCCCGCACTGTTGTGGACATGTACGTCACCATCGGTGTCATCTCTGGTGAGTCGCCCTATTCCCGCTGACCAACGCTTCGCCCTGTCCCGCGGCTTCCCGCAGGCGTGGCTGTGGCCATGGGGATTTTACTCCCTGTGGCGGGGGGGGGTGTGCTTGAGCAATGCTGCTGCCCCTTCTGAGCTCAACTTCCCCTCCCGGTAGAGGTGATGGCTGGGCTGAAGGCTTGGCTTTCTGCCCCCGACACCCTGGGGACACCCTGGGGCTTGGTCCCCCAGACCACTGCGCTAGTGCAGCTGTACCGATGGCTTCTGACTGGGATCGCTGGGGATGTGAAAGCTGTTCACGGGGTCAAATCCTCTCAGCTCTCTTCTTATTGTACTTTTTCCCCCTCTCCGATCTGGCCTGGGCATCCTGCTCGCTCCCGTGCCGGCAGCTTGCCTCGCGTAGGGGAGCAATTGCTACAGGCTCAAACTCTTTAGGCAGATACGGTCCTCAAAGAGGATCCCGTTGGCTCTTTGGGAACAGAAGGCATTAGTCTAGCAGGTTTAGGAGGTTGGGGCTCTGATTTGGTGGTGGTTTATTCTTTCTTTTTTTCTTTTTGCCCCCTCCAATCTTTAAAAAAAAAAAATTAACATTCTGGTTTCCCCAATGATTTTCTTCCAGGGTGACTTGCCGAGTTGGCCGAAATGATACTGTAATCTGCCACCGGGAAAGCTGACTTAACGTGTTCTCCCATCGGTGTTTCCCCCTCCTTTACTTGTTGTTATGGCAATTTTTGGCATTTATTCACAGGCCTTGGATACTGCCTCTCTTTCCTCCCGACTGTCACCATTTTATCACAGTATTTTGACAAAAGACGCTCGCTGGTCACAGCAGTGGCATCCACAGGGGAATGTTTTGCTGTTTTCTCCTTCGCACCAGGTACAGTCCCCCAGCACTGCGGGTTCATGCGCGCACGCGTAAAGCACAACCCTGCTCTGATCCTTCTCCTAAGCAAATGGGACCCGAAGGCCATCCGTGCCGGGGTGCTCACGGACCTTCCCATGAGCTGCTAAAGCCCACAGGTGGCTGCTCACGTGCCCGTGGCACTCGTTCCCTGCAGGCAGGGTTACAAGTAATCCTAGAGACCGGTCTAACGATGCCCGAGCTGTCCCCAGCATCGCCTGCCAGAGCAGGACGTGCCTCACCGATACGCAGCCCGCCGGGCTCCCCATATAGATCTAGCTGGCTAAAAATAAGACCGAGAAACTTCAGCTATTTAAAACACACACAGAACACAACTGCTCCTAAAGGTTAGTGGGCTTGTGCTTAGCACAGCGTGCCGACCTGCTGCGGCCTTTTGGGGACCTGTCCCCAGGCAGCACTGCCCTGTCACTGCCCTGTCACCACTTGTCCTCCGCAGTTCAAGTGGTCTGTGCACGCTTGCTTTCGGCTAAAACCCACTGCAAAGCTGCTTTGGTTGCAAATGAAGGCCTGTAAGCAGTGACACAGACCTTTGGGTAGAGTTATGACACTTCCTCTAGTAGCTGGTTTCAGGGTGGAGTCGGCTGAGAGGAAACTCGAATGTTGAGTTTGCTCTTATTCACTAAGAATACCACCACCTTCATTCTTGCACATCCCAAACTTACCGGGACCTTAGAGGTGGCCACCTAGCAGAAGGTAACCTCTAGCCAGGTGTTACCTGCTGCAGATGATGGGAGAAACATGGGTGCCAGACCCTTGGGTGGCCCTGGGCAGGAGGGACCCCTGCCTAGCCTCTGCAAAGGTGAGGTGCTTGAGACCCTCCCGTGGTGAAGCCTCCGTTACTTTCCCAGCTGTAATTCAAATAGCTCCTTGGTGTAACTACAGGCTTTTCCACTTACACTTTCTTCTTCTGCCCTCGTTTTCCTCAGCAATTACTGGTCTGAAGGAGCAGATCGGCTGGAGATACAGCCTCCTTTCTGTCGGGGTGCTTCAGCTCAGCATCGTCGTCTGCGGATCACTGCTGCGACCCATTATCATCAAAGAGCAAGAAGAAGTGAAAGCGCAGCCTCCTGAAGAGCCCGCGGAGACAAAGTACATGCTTGAAAACGAGCAAACACGCACCTCAATAGAGTCCATAGACTCAGGAGTAGAAATAACTACCTCACCCAGCAATGTGCCTGGAAACGCCAAAGCAGAGCCGAAAAGTGAAGAACCAAAGGAACATGTGCAGATACTTGTTGAAAATAACACCACCCCTCCAGAACCAAAAACCAATCTACTGGACTTCTCTGTGATGAGAGACTGTAGCTTTATCTTTTACGCATTCTTTGGGCTGTTCGCTACCCTGGGCTTCTTCGCTCCCTCCCTCTACATCATTCCCCTGAGTCTCAGCCTTGGCATCAGCAAAGACCACTCGGCGTACATCCTGTCGGCCATGGCGATCGCAGAGGTCTTCGGGAGAATTTCAGCCGGCTGGGTCCTCAACAAAAAGCCCATCCGCAAGATCTACATCGAACTCATCTGCGTTGTTCTGCTGTCTGTAGCGCTGTTTGCCTTCCCTTTTGCCTCCGAGTTCTGGGGCTTGATGACATGTAGCATATTTTTTGGGTTCATGCTCGGGACGGTAGCGGGCACGCATATTCCCCTCCTGGCAGAAGACGATGTGGTCGGCATCGCGAAGATGTCTTCTGCAGCTGGAGTCTACGTCTTCATTCAGAGCTTAGCTGGGTTGGCTGGACCACCCCTTGCAGGTAACTCCTAAAACTTCCATCTTTTTTTTTTTTGTATATTTGACAGCTGTTGGTGCTGATTTCTGTCTAAAAAGCGTTGTGGCAGTGCTAAGCATAGTACCATCCTAAAAGCTCTGCAACTAATATTAGGTGGCTCTCGGAGCCAGAACACTGCTGCAATGCAGCTCTGCAGAGTCCCACCGATGAGGCGTTCTCTACTGAGGAGCCTCAGAGTGAAGGAAAATACTGCAGTGCTACCCCGATCCTGTTAGAAACCCGAAGCTGGCAGCGCCTCAGGCTCCAGCGAGCGGCAGAAGCAAACCGCTCTCGCTGTGTGTGCGTTTCCACCGTACGCTGCGGAAAGGGGAGGTCTCCATCCCCGCAGATATGCCTGGTGCATCCTGGCTCAGCGCCCCTGCAGTGCCTGAAGGCTCTGACTTGGGTGAAGATGACACCGTGTACCCCTGAACGGTGGGTTTTACCCTTTTGTAAGGCAGCATCTGTCTGTTGTTGAGTATCTTCTGATTGCCAAGAAAATGATGCAGTGGTGTCTGGATTAAAAGCCCTTTGGGGAGGGATGGATGGGCAAGGGAGAGGGAGGGTTGGCTGTGGCTAACTGCTGGAAATGTGTCTTCTGTAGGTGTCTTAGTGGATACAACACAGAACTACAGCTCAGCCTTTTACTCCTGTGCTGCTGGCATGGTCCTGGGTGCTGTGTTTCTGTCCCTGGTGAGACCGTGCAAGGCTGGGCTGTGCCAGCGCCAGCGGCAGCACGTGGAGGAGAGCGCGGCGGAGGTCGTACCAGACTTTCCAGATGACTTTATTGAAATGGATATTGGAAAAGCAGAAACTTCAGGAAAAGGTTCTGAAAGCATGGCATAAGAACACCCCTGTTCCGTCTCCATCTAACGCACTCGGTGTAAGACTGGGGGAAAATGTCAGCTCTGCTCCACGTTTTAAAACTACATTCTAAAGGGAATGTGAAATTTTAAATGTGAACAGTTGCTACCGACGACTTTTTTTTTAATTATTAGAAAAACTTTTTTAACCAACAATGGAAGCTCCATAGAAAATACGGATAGCCACATAAGAATAACTTCTGTCTAGCATGAAGATGTGATGCACACTCCTGCTTTCCTGACGTAGGCAAAGGTTCAACTGACCCCAGAAAAACTGAGAACGGCAACAGCGGAAGCAGCTCAGCCTCTGACTGTCCTCACCCGTCCCCAGCCGCAAATTCCACGCTGACAAACGGTGACACAGACTGGAGACAAGCATTTCCTACGCCACCAGTAGCCAACGGAATCTTCTTTTGGAAGAACACAGACTCACGTTACATGATTTGAGGAGGCCAGGCTAGATAGCTGACTTCAGCAATGGTTTATGTTCATCTAATTAACTTGAACGTCACAAATGCTGGGAAATTAGAGACTCTGTATGTCTTTATGGCCAGTTATTACTACACATATTTCATAAGATCATTTTTCTTCTCCCAATTGGTATCCTTAGAACTGTTTTCTATTGATAGTCAGATCTAATTTAACTAGTATTTATTAATTTATTCAAAGATTGTTACAGGCGGTTAGCGTAAATAACTGGAGAGGAAAAATCATCTTTTGCGTAACAGAAAGCTGTCTTTACGTCAATCTCTTCGATACCTATCTTGTATTGCTAGCTTGTGAAATTGTTGGGAAACTTATTCTTAGAGCACAGAGTGTAGCTATTTTTAATAGGTAAGTTTTAGGTAGCCCCCTTGCTGTTTTAAAAGGGAAGAAAAAAAAAAATAAACTACAGATCCAGCGTCTCTTTCCATCAAGCCTCAGCTGGTGTCGTCGGACCTGGCTCCGCTGCTGTAACCAGCCCCCAATCCCGGGGGGATTTGGCCCGGTATGTCTTAACGTACCGGACACCTTCGCTTGCAGGTGCACGAGGAAATCTCTGCCGCATCACCAAACCAATGTGGGAACCCCCACGTTACCCAGCCCCGGCAGACTGCTCCCTCCGTCCCCCAGCCCCGCGGGCATGGGGCGGCCGGCCTGAGCCGTGCCCCTTTTCCCAATAAGTCGGCCAGAGACTCTTTTTGCTGCTGGCTTCGGTGAGAAACGGAGCCTGTGCACACTGAAGGCGAGGGGAGGGAGAAGAGAGAACGCACGAGCTGTCCATTTAGTCTTAATGGGAGGGATTCCTACTCACAGTGACACAAGCTTGCTTACCCCACCTATATGCATCTTAACGCCTCTAGGCAACTCAGGGGGACAAATAAACCAAGTCTGTTTTGGTTTGGAAAAACCCAAACCAGCATTTCTGTGTATTTCAGTGGAAGTGGCATCATGCATTAACTGCTATGCTGACATGTCTGTATCTTACCAGCCATAGAAGTGTGGGACAATCTGTTAAAAACTTCGGGAAGGTGCTTGGTTTGGTTTTTTTTCTGTCTTGGATGTCAAAAAAAAAAAAACCAAAACCAAACAGGCACTCTTACAACCAAGTGGCTAGAGCAATTCACCCTCACTGCCCGAGACCCGCGGTCTCGCATCCTTCCTCTGCCTCAGCACTTTATCACGGCCAGCAGAACCTCGCTGCGTTGCACCCAGGACTGGAAGATCCCTTACAGAGAACTAGAGTCTTGTGAATCAGTGAGTACATGAACAAATACCCACGTTGCATTAAGATGTACTTCTTATTTATTGTTAATTTATGATACTTCAAGCATTTTTGGTAAATGTTCTGTAGACTCTAATTGTAAGATTATTGAAGTCTTTGTGATACGAGACCTCACTACAGCACTTTGCTATTACAACTCTGCTTGGAAGTAGAATAAGGCCTCCAGGTTTTGCGTGTGTGTGGAAGCTCCCTGCTCTGCAGATTTGCGAGGTTCTACTGTAATTTTTTCTTTTTTTTACAAGTTTCCAATACAGATCAAATAATATGTTTGTCACTGACCTCACAGTACGTTTCTGTTCCTGTCTGTCGCAGCACGAGCAGGGGAGCGAGTGAGAATGTGTGTGTGCGGGCGCAGAAGACCCAGAAGCAGGCTTTAACGCGTTCAAAGCAGGATTTACTGATTTGTTTGTAACGTACCTAGCAGACTCTGGAAATACTCTAAAACACTGAGTTTTGCAATAAACCTTTTTTTTTTTAATAAAGAAAATGACAAAACTTTCCTCCTCTCCCTCTTCTCCATCCCTAGGATGAGGCTGGCTCAGCCTTCACCCCGTGGGGTGTTGCAGGGTCCAGCCATCGCTTCCCCCTCCCCAAAGGGCTCTCGGCATCGTGGCCGTCACGTGCCGCAGCCTGAAGCAGCGTGTTTACCCTGCGAACTGGGCAATCCTACGTTCTTTTGGAGTTGCTTGGAAGCTGGTAGATTAGTGCTGACCTCAAGGGTGCTCTTGTAAACCCTTACCCGGGGAGGCCTGATTAGAAGGAGCCTTTTCTCCTGAGTGGTAGCAGAATTGGTGGCACTTAGGAACATTATCCTCGTGCCTTCAAGAAGCACGCAATCATGTAATTATTTTATCATCTCTGAATTGCAGAATACTTTCTCCGTGCCAGACTCGGCGGCTCATGCATCAGAAATCAAGCTCTTAAATAGCAGGATAGTTGCACTGAAGGGCAATTTTCCCTCCCTCCAACCCTACTTCCTTTTAACAACAGGGGAGATACGCCCCTTAGCCTGTAACTCCTAGCATTGCCAACCCCTACACGGAATAACGCTGCCCTGCTGCTTAATTCCAAAGACCAACGCGTGGACTGGACTTAACTGCTTGTTGAAGGAAACATCACACCACTGATAAGTAGGAAGTGCGATTTGTTTTCCTTCTGATTGCAAAAGTCCTAGAACAGAGGTGGTGGTGCACGCAAGCGACGCAGACTTAACGCAAATACCAAAGTCCCGGGAAGCTAATCTGTCTCCAAATTTGACTCTGGCTCAATTACAGCAGCGAACAAACATTATTTGCAACAGCTTCCTCAAAAACAACCCCCCCCAGAAAAAAAAAAGGCATTACAAAGGCTGCACACTGTTCGCATAAATAAAAGCACATAAAACTAACAATATTAGATGTTTTCCTGCACAGAAATGATTTTGAGTAATTTTTTCCACCTGTTTTAATTGCAAGGTTCCTGCTATCCTGGTAGGAAGGCATTAAGGCCGGAACAAAATAGGATAAGAATACTTATTTCTACTCAGTCACACTGCGTATCAACTTTGCACCAGTAAGAGGACAACGTGGGGCAGAACTCGCTTCTGCAAGCTCAGTATTCCTCCCAAAAGCGGTTGTATAAACTCTTGTAGTCAGTGAGGCCAGTGCCAGCCAAATGTAAATAAAGGAAATTACACAAGGTCAGCTTGCAGAAGGACAAAAAGCCCTCAGACCATGGGTATCTATCCTTTCTGAAGCAGAAAGGAAGCTGTACAGTGGGTTGGTTTGTTGTTCTGGGGTCTTGAAAAGAAAAAAAAGACACTACAAAACCATTTTTCCATTTGAAATTAAAAGGAAGGGCAACCTGTTGTTCTTTTTCACTTACTTTAGATAAGCCGACATCAGGTACTTCAGGGGACAAACAAATCTTTAAAAATAGCTAAACTGGTTGGGGAAAAAAAAGTGAAGTAGGTGCTTACAAAACAGCTTGAATGCTTTAACGCTTCCCTCCAGATGTTACTTGTTAGCATCTGAGATCATCATTTTTCAGCTGCCCGTAGTAAACATGACCTGAATTTTCAGAGTGATGCAAGCCCAAGCAGCAGCCTTCCTCCCTCCCTCTCTAAGGCTCATCGTCAAGATGCTTCCCGGGTCGGGTTTAGGAAAACATCCCTTTCACTTCTGGCTTGCTTTGAAGGCCGAGAGAGAAAGCACTGCTGCCCAGAGGAACTATTTGAGGCCTGATGCCCACACTAGAAGTCGGGCCCCCCGGTTCTCACCGGCACACGGCACCGGCGGGGATGCCGTCCGTGCGAGAACGGGGTTCGGGGCGGTGATGCCTGCCTGCCTCCCGCCCACCCAGGCCACCTCGGGGCTCCCGGCAGCGGCACGCGGGGCTCCCCCCTTCCCGGTCGCGCTCCCGCGGGCTGTTACTTGCAGGATTTGCGCACCCGTGGCTGCGCTCGCACAAAGCCTGCCCTTGCAAATCGCAGTAAGCCGTCTCATAAATCAACTGCAATCCCCCACCCTCCTTCCCGCTGCAGTTGTCAAGCTCCAGTTACAACAATTTGTGGTAAAATATTACTCCCCAGCACTTTGGCCCGTGAGAGCAGCTCTGCGTCTGTAAAGACAGCCCCCTAAATCACCCCTTTGTCACAGAAGCCACAAGCATAACCAGAAGACTTATTACACGCAGACATTATGAGAATAAGGCCGAGGAGACAATAGTTTCCCCTTGCTTCCTTTTTGTCAAAGCTTTCATTAATGTCGTGAACGTCTTTTTCTACTTCACCCGCTGCTGCCCGCAGTCAGCCCGGCAGAGCAGCCGCCCAAACCAGCCCCAGAGCCTGAGCAGCAGTGAGACTGGGGCGGGCGATGGCAACTTGGGGTGCTGAGCATCACCCTGTGCTCCTGCTTCAGCAACCTGCCCTCCCCAGCGACGCTGCTACCCACCATCCTGCCTCTCCGCTCCGCTCGTTCGCTCCGATCTCCACCCGCTTCTGCTCACGCTACGGGAACTTATCAAAATTAGGCATTTTTAAGCCCTTAAAGAACACCAAGGCTCTGGCATGCTGCTGTTGATGCAGCTGGTATTTTTTCTTTTTAGATGTTACAAAACGAGACAAAGAACCCAAAATCACCAGTGAAGAGCAAAGGCCATTTGCGAAGTTATACCTGGGGTTGGAAGACAGCAGGAGACAGGCACGGGGGCAGAGGGCAGCCAGCTCCAGCCTTGCCGGG